GGCGGGCCGTGCTCGCCCACGAAGAGCATCGCCTCTGAGCGCACCGTGACGGAGTTTGGCCCGTGGATGGTCACCGGGCTGGAGTTGTTGTTGTTGGGGTTGTTGGGGTTGTTGGGGTTGTTCTGTTGCGCTCCTCTCACATGATGGTGTTGTTGTTGTTGTGGCATGGCCTGTGGAGATTCGGGCAGCATCAGATACATGCGCACCCGCTGACATTGTTGCTGTTGTTGTGGTTGTTGTGGTTGCTGCTGCTGTTCCTGATGTTCCTGATGTTGCTGCTGTTCCTGATGTTCTTGATGTTCCTGCTGTTCCTGCTCTTCCTGCTCTTCCTGTTGTTCCTGCTGTTCCTGCTGTTCCTGTTGTTGCTGTTGTTCCTGCTGTTCCTGCTCTTCCTGTTGTTGCTGCTGTTGCTGTTGTTGAAAAGACATTTTGAAAATCAGTGTGTGTGTGTGTGTGATTATGCCAAAAGAAGGTAAATGAGTGAATGAATGAATGCTGAATGTTGACAGTTGAGGGGGAATGAGCTGGGAATGAGAATGGTTGTAGCGTTGTAAAACGACACTTTAGAATGTGTTTTCAAAAATGAGAGATTCGGTGGTTTGAGAAAGAATCAGAGAGAGAGAGAGAGAGAGAGAGAGAGAGAGAGAGAGAGAGAGAGATATGATGTGTAACTTGTTTTTGGGCAAAGCACGTGTTTGGCTGAAGGGTCAACAGTGATAGTGGTGGTGGTGGTAACGGAAGTGGAATTGACAAAAGCAAAGTGAGATCTTTAAGTTGGCAGTCGGCAAAGCAAGTCGGAAACCAAACAGCAGCTTTAAAGGTGCAAGTTTAAAGCTACGATATGTTGTTTCTACTTGATGACAACAGCTTTAGTGGCAAAACTTCATTTGTTTGGTCAACCTGGAATCAAGGACGGAAAATGTCAGTGAATTTAGCAAACATGAGGCATTGTGCAGTTTGCTTTCTCTACTTACTGATTGGCAGTACTGAAAACACACAACACAAAACTCTGCTGAAATGCAATGGCACTTGCAATGGTACCGGCGATGGAAATTTCTGGTGCAAGGTGCAGGCACCTTCGCCGAAGATCTTCTTTCCAAACGAGGATCTTTCTATCTTCAGGCACAAAACACTGGAGAAGCGAAAGGAAAAGTGAAACACACTGAACAATGCTGCCTGGTTTGAGTAACGCACGCACGCACGCACACACTGCAGCACGACGGCAGCACACACATTGAGCAGTGCCTGTGTAACGTCCTCTGTGCGCGGTTCGTCAATTGGACTGGCGGCAATGAAAACGGTAGTGCAGCCGCTAGCAGCTGTCCGACCACAACAGCCGCTGCAGCGGCCGCGACCACAACGAGTCGATAGAATCGATTCTATTGGCAAGACGACATTAAAAGAAAGAACTAATTTTTTCAAGTTAATTATTAAATTAAATGCATAAACGGGCACTGTCAATAAATTTATTGTTATAAAACTTTTTGCATAATTTTTTAAAATTACTGTTTTAAAGATAATGTGCTCTTTACCGGCGTCAAGAAGCGTTTGCAAGTTCCAAAACCAAAAAAACGACACAAAGGGGTCGTGCTGGCAGCACAAACACATCAAAGTCAAAATGGAAAGCAGTGTGATCTTAAATCAATTAAATAGTAACGACTGAAATATCAATAAAGCAATTTGTGACGATTTACATTACAAAAGTTTAAAAAATAACTTTCAAAATTAATGTGCGAAGCAAAGAAGAGAAAATTGTCAAGAATACTTAGATTAAATGTAGCAAAAGGTATTTTCTAGAATTAAATAATTTTTTTAAAAGTTAACATTTGGTCCCTTCCAGCACTTTACCTTTTGAAGGTGTGTGTGTGTGTGTGTGTCGTTAGCACTGTCAGTGGCAGCATTAGCAGCAGCAGCAGCAGCTTTAGAGTGCAACTGTCACTTTGTTTCTGCTCACAACTTCACTGGCCACAGCTGGCCTGTGTGCTGGCACTAGGCAAATTCAGTGTGCTTCTAGCTCTCTCTCTCTCTCTCTCTCTCTCTCT